ACGGAGGATTAGTTTTTTTAATTGAAATTTTACTTCGGAAGGATGAATAGCTTTTGGGGGCAAGGAAAGTGGGATTGGTGATGTAAGGAGTTCTTCTACTGTTACGGTGTGGGCAGGATGGGATTCCGGATGTGAAATAAATGTATTGGATAGGTGAATGGCGAACTCCTCAGCTTTATCTTCGTCAGATGCTGCCCAGGAGCCATCACCTCGTCGGAGAGGATGGGAAATGCGGTGAGGATTTAGGATTTTTGTTGTGGTTTTCCAAAGGGAATTGTCGCGAGAAGAGAGGGAGGATAGGTAGGAGTTGAAGGATTGTGATCTGAAGGTGGCTAATTCCAGTTTTAATTGTTTGCAGTAGTAATTATAGGAGCAGCGGTCGGTAGGATGTCGGGTTCGTTGCCATAATAATCTGGCACGGCGTTTGGTGCGGATTAGGTTAAGGAGGTGTTGGGGTAGAATGGTCTTTATAGGAATTCTGGAGGAGTCTTTTGGAAAGGAGGCAGTCCAGGCGGCTTGTTGGATTGTGGTAGTAAAGGAATTTACGGCACTATCAAGGTCATCGGGAGTTTTGAGGGATATGTTGAGATCAATATTATCGGAGATTATTTGGCGGAAAAGGTCCCAGTTTACTGGGCCCCTAATGAATGACGGTGGAGAAGGTTTGGGAACAGGTTCAAGTGAAACATTAAGGATTAGAGGACTATGGTCAGAGGAAAGTTCATTTAGACGTGTAATGGAACAATTGAGGGGACTTAAGCCGCTGTGGATAAAGAAATCTAGAAGATCAGGATTACGGTTGGGATCTGTGGGCCAGTAGGTAGGAGAGTTGGGGGAAAGGAGGTGAAAACGTTGGGAATTGAGTGCAGACAGCAGGGTTCGGCCACGAGAATTCGTGGTTCTGGAACCCCATTGTTGGTGCTTGGCATTTAGGTCTGCACCCAAGATGAAGTGATGTCCTAAGGAGTCGAGGAGAGAACTGAATTGGGCATTGGATATGGATCGGTTAGGAGGGCAATACGCTGATGCAAGAGTGACCGGAAAGGAGAAGGTTTTTATCACGATAGCGGTGGACTGTAGGAAATCATGTATTGGTAATGGGAGTAGGTGATGGGAGAGGGATTGGTGTACAATTACAGCAGTACCGGCATGTGCTTTTCCGTCAGGGTGGTCAGTACGATATGTCAGGTATTGTGGTATATTGAAGTGCTGTTTAGTGGTTAGTCGAGTTTCAGTAATTAGTGCCACATCAATGTTCTTGTCAAGTAGTAAAGTAGATAGTTCGTCTGTATGATTTCTAACACCATTCGCATTCCAAAGGAGAATGGATATGGGTTTAGGGATGTGAGTCATTTAAGGATTTTTCAAAGGAGGGATGAGGTGAGATACGAGATTCGTGAGGAGTGATATGAGTGGAGTAACAAGGGATTTGAAATCGGTGAGGAAAGATGCTAACAAACTTGTGAGATCTGTTGCATTTGAAGGAGGAGGAATATGAGGAATTTGTTGTTGGTGGTTAGGTATATTAGGATGAAGAGGATTTTGAGGTTGGGTTTGAGGTTGTTGTTGTGGCAGGGCTTGACATTTATCGGTTAAAGTCTTACCTCTAAGTAGTTGGGAGAATGATACATCATTGTTTACAATTCTGGAAGGCTCTCTCTCTCTTCTTGTTCTTAGTGCTTCATCTTGAATCCGGTTTTTCTGGTGTCTGGTTTTGAGATTCTTGTAAATTTGGCAGCCTTTGTAGTTGGCCGGGTGTCCCTCCAAGCATAGGGCACATACTGCTGGATCTTGTATAGGTTTGGTGCACTCTACAGATTTGTGCTGTTCACCGCACTTCACGCAACGCGGCAGATGGTGGCAATATGTCTTCGTGTGGCCATAGGTCTGACAATTATGGCACTGCACGATGTCTCTCTTGGGATATGGCTTCTCAACTTTCACCATTGTATAGTATATTCTTGTGATATCATATATTTTTTCGATACCTGGTGATGGCTCCAAGTCCACGAAAAACAATGGTAGTGGGATCCTATTTCGTAATCCTGGCTGTTCCCTGTCCTCCTTCAAAACGTTTGTTACCTGGCGTACATTGAAACCAAGCGTCGTTAGTTCTTCTTTAATAACTTCAGTGGGGGTTGAGGAATGTAAATTTCTTATCACCACTCGTAAAGCTCTTTCCTGCCTCAGCTGGTAAGTGTGAAAATTCGCATTTGTTTCTGATAAGTACTTCACTATTTTTCGGTAGGCTTCTGCAGAATCAGGTGTTATCTTGGTGTCATTGGTCCTGTTAAGGCATGAATAACTGCCAGAGCAGATTTTATTTAGTTGGGTGCAGAACATCTGGAAATTTTTTATATTTTTCACAAATATCGGAGGAGGCTTTGGTTCTCTGGGTATTGCTGCAGACTCCATTACTTCTTTGTCATTTTGAAGCACTTGGTAGGGGTTTGGAGTAAAGAAAGGTGATTCTTCAATCGTTTCTTGTGCAGACGTACCTGGTTGGGGCTGAGGTTCTGGTTCTGAAGTGTTCATTTTGGTCACTGGAGGTATTTCTCGTAGGCAGCGACGAGTCCTTTGTTTGGCTGGTGAGCTAACTCCGTCTGACCGAGACCTCTTGGGCACCTTACTGGCCATCACTTGCTGATCATACCGCATATCATAAGAGAAAAATAAATAAATAAATAAAAAAAAAGAAAAAAAAAAATTTTTTTTTTTTTTTTTTTTTTCCTTAAAATAACAAAAAAAAAGATGCCAACAGTAAATATCAACTGCTCTGATATACACTTTAACTGTATCACGTGAATAATCAGAGAGATTCCGCTATAAAATTGGTAAAAACTGAGAGAGGAGTTGAGGAGACAACCCTCTCATCAGCTGATCCACTGCCTTCCCCAAAATCTCGCAAATATTAGTGTAAAAGTTCCAATGTAAAAATTGAGTTTTTTTTTTTTTTACAGAAAAGCATAAAAATCGATTATCTCTTTACGATTTATTAGTATTATTTCATTTGTTATTTCCCTCCACTATTTTACCATTTAGTAGATTACTTATAGCAGTTGCAGCCTACAAAATGTCACGATTTGCGTGAAGGGAATAAACATGTAAAATTGTTACATACGACATTTTGCACTGACAGTAGTGATATGAAACATTAAAGTGATTAAGAAAGATTTGTGAAAAAGTAAGAGAAATTAAGAATTTAGCAAAGCATTTTGAATTGGAAGGATTGTATAAGAGAGAAATTTGATGGTTTAGTGGAGCTCTAAAGCTCAACTACATAAACCCAAATAAGCCTTATTAATGTCAATTAAATAAACATTTTATATTTGGAAGGATATGGAAATTGAAAGGTTAGAGCGTTTTTCTAGGAATTGTTAAAATAGTTGGAAACGTCTAGCACTTTGTTTCGTTTCAATCTTGCATGAGGATTCCAAGTAAGAGGTTTGTGCAGAAGTAGTTCTAGGTAGTGGATCTGGCGAAATGTAGTATTAATTAACGTATTGAACATAAGGTCTTAATGGATGATTTTATTTCTGACAAAGTAAGGAGCGTTGAGGATTTTCCGAAGGATTTTTTCGATTGTAATGATCGGATACGAGACGAATTCGATGGTTTATAGTGGAGCCCAATGACATTTACAAATTTACGTCGAAGGGTAAAAGTGATTTGATGGGATTTGTTGGAATTAATTTAAATTCTCTAATTCGACACTCTTCTTGATATGAGGACATTCATTAATATGAGACGTAGGAGTTTGGAAAGCAACAAATTAGTCATTAATAACTGAACATAAGTGTTATCTGTATATGTGGTAATGATGTTATTAGGATAAGTCAGTATGTCAGCTGTATAAACTGTATATAGGACGGGACCAAGGATACTATCTTGCATTCCACTAGCGGAATGAAAAAAGGGCGAATAGGCACCATTGTGGTTTCTCTTGAATTATAATTTATTAATAGACTAATATATATTAATAGATTTAAGTGAACGTTTCCTATGAGTAATAGCTTTATATTATCAATTAGTACTATGTCCTTTCTCTTACTAACCCAGAATATAGAAAGGGTCATTAACCGAACGATACTTATATGTTAAGCTTTACGCAATAAATTGACTTTCTTATAAAAGCTGTTAGTTACTGCAAACCAATCTGTACGTGTCTCATAAGTTAGTACACTCCGATCAATGATTCATCAATTGTTATTAGTAAGATATATTTTAAATACTGTATACAAATTTTATATGTCTCAAGAAACAATATTCTTTAACTGTCAAATTCCACATTAAATCATTATTATACCATGTCTATTTTTTTTTATTATTGAAATTTACAACTGTATTAAATGATAAATACAACTAGTAAATATAAAAAAAGTAACATGGCATGTACAACATGAAGAGAAACTACCCATTGGTAGCACTCCAATTATATTTTTACATTAGAAGGTCCCCCGAGGCCATCTTCTTTTCAGACGCCTCGGAGGGTTATCAGGAATAGAAGAGGAAGCAAGGTTGGAAACGAGAGGGTTCGGATGGTTCAGAAGTTTATTAGGGAAATATCGGTATCTGGATTGAGCTAAATCGGAAATATATGGTATATTAAGGTCGTTATGGATGATTTTATTTGTGACAAAATAGTGAGCATTGAGGATTTTACGAAGGATTTTGGATTGTAGAGATTGGATACGAGAGGAATTTGGTGGTTTAGTAGAGCCCCAAAGCTCGATCTCGTAAGTCCAAATAAGCCGTATTATAGTAATATATATGAGTCTTTTGTAAATAGTTGGAAGCTTAGAGCGTTTGTCTAGTAAGTGCTGAAGTAGTCGGAAACGTCGGGCGGTTTCTAGTTGTTTCAGTCTGGTATGGGGGTTCCAAATTTAATTTTTGACTTTATAACATTTCCAACATTAATTAATTAATTATTATCAATGACTCGTATATATTTTAAAGCCTTAAGGTTATTACAATAAATATATTATGCATATTTTTTCCAGCTATGGTTTCTAAAATGGACGACACGGTTGGTGAATTGGTTGAAGCATTGAAAGAAAAAGATATGCTGGATAACACCATCATCCTGTTCTTCTCTGACAACGGTGCTCCAACCTTTAATGCAGATTTTCCCAACTGGGGATCAAACTGGCCATTCAGAGGTGTAAGTACTCATTTTACCAGTTTTATTAAGAAAATATTTTTTAAAGGAAGGAGAGGACTAGGAGTTTCACTTAGAACTGATTCAGTTCTTTCATTTCTAAGTGAAACTCCTTGCTGAACACACCTCCCTGAAGAAGACCTGCAAAGTCAGGTCGAAACGTTGGCTTTTAATAAAATAGTTATGGCACTATTTAACCTATTTATGACCGCCACGCCGGACCACCATCTTTCATTATAATGCAACGCTCAACTATAAATATTCAAAATATTTTTTATTTAGATTAATTATGGTCTAATTGAAAACTCATAAAAAATACATGAAATTACTTTAAATATGTTTAATTTAGATAAAATATCTTTATCTTCCTAAAGTTAGGGATACCTATTGATTTATTCTATATTTAAGATGTATCACCATTTAAGACACACTTCATTTCCAAACATATCGTTTACTTACATAAAATCTTGAGTATTTTAGTACTTGCTTTTCTAGGAGGATCGTTTTGTTTCTCCCTGAAAAAAACATCTATCTCCCACATTGCTAAGTCGGTTTGCTAAATTTGTTCCCATGCGATAGCTATCTCCAAAAAATAATATTTTTTTTTAATTTTTCCGATATCTAGAATAAAGAATTGTTTAGGAAGACTGTTATTAATTGTTCTTACCTCAAGATACGAGTATTCAATGTAATTAAACCATTATTATGTTTTTCCTAGACAGGAACAATTGTAGTTTTGTCACTAACCACAAAAATTATAATTTTGATAACGTCGAAACTCCAACGAATCTCACGAGAAAAATTAGAGGCTTAAAGGTCTGCATAATACACAAAACAGTATAAACCCGATCTATATAACCTAATTAGAACCAATCATATGAAGTTAAAATATTTGAGAAGGTTTAACAACTTCTAGCTTCCTAAAAAGGAATCAAATCCAAAACTTATTGATGGATTTTGAAAGCAGTAATTAACTTTCGATCGGTAGTAACGTTGGATATGAGAGAAGTTATGAATGGTTTATTCCTTGAGTACCGGAAAAATAATCCTCCTATAAAACCAGGAACTGAAATTTCCAATATAATATATATATATATATATATATATATATATATATATGCGTTTTAAAGAACCCTAAAAACGAAATTGACTTTCTTTTTTGTGGTAAAAATTACATGGCATACTTTACCAGAATAGTGTTTTGGTTTTTGTTATTTAAGATAATTAATAACTCACTAAATATCTTATTATGCAGAAGCAAAGAATTCGATTGGTATATAATAACATAAAAATCTTGACAATGCATAGGCAAAAATCATATAACATATTTTTTTCTGCGGATCAGCAAGAAAATAATTACTTAATGATTCGTCATCTATGTATACATAAGCATATCCTTGTTAGGATATACAATTAAAAGGAAGACTCAATCAGGAGTTAAATAAAAGACCTAAATGACCCAAACTAGAGACACGAATATAACAATATTGACAATTAAAACAGGTTAAACAGAAGCAGACTTTGGCTTATCAGTGTTTTGGTTAGCATGAAAGAGTTCAACAATAATATGAATAAAGAAATAAAATGGATATTGCCAGAGAATTCACAGGGATAAGTAGAAAACACGAAGAAAATGTTGATCTCATGATAATGATCATCTTCCTTACATACCTGGATTTACGATTAAAAGTGAGGCTTAATAACACCATTTAAATTATTGACATAATAATTAACAAGTGACGCGAATAAAACGACATTGATGTTTAAAACAGTTACAGATTAATATACATTGATATCAACCATAAATAGATTAATCCACAAAGATCCCAAATCCCAGCAAAACATTACTGCAATTAGTTGGCAATGCCAGAAGACGTAAATAATATTCGAAAGTATATGGAAACAATATATATCAAAATGATTTATTAAATTAATACGGGGAACGACTTACTCATTATTTTTTGTGAAATTATGTGTTATGTATCGAAATGATTAGGATTTCTGTGGTTCTTACCGATAATTATCACGTCTCTCAGTACTTTTTGTATAATTAAGAACATTAATTCTATTCGAATAAGAATAATTATTTTGTTCGAAATTTTATTAAAATTATAATGACAAAACGGATGAAAGAAACGAAAAGATGAAAATGTAGAAACCTATTTAATGAAACAACAATTCTCAACCGATGTACATCAGTGTACGGCTGCGTTGCTTATAGTACTTTAAATTACATTATTCCATCATGACATGTTTATTTTTAAATGAAAAAATCCAAAAACAAACCAATGAGTATCCAATACACAAGTGAATAATTAACTTTCCAACTTCTGGCCAATCGGGGCATCATCAGGACAAGAAAACCCAAATGATATAAAACGATCAAAATACATACTGAAGGAAAGAGAAGGTTCTATTACCAACAGGTAAGGAAGGCTATATTGAGCAGGTGTTCAGACGTAATAAAAGTGGGAAAAATAAGTATAACTAAAGATAATAATACAAAACGTGTTAAAATAAAATTTAAAAAAAATAAATAAAAATTTATTTATTCTTCCTTGGCCGTTGAACCTTCTCTTTCCTTTATTGTGTATTATGGATGGCTTCATGAGATGTCTACTATAATTTTATTTTATTCCTTTTCGTATTATTCTTTCTGTATACATAATTTTAGTTTTTTCTGCCCTGATCATGTTGGTAAGGTTGGAGAAACGTTTGCAAGTTAACGATTCACTTATATGTTGCAGACTCATGGCCTAATTGTTAGGATTTTTCCATTTATAACATAATCACCTTATGCCTCTTTTCAGCTTTATGCTCATTTTAATTATATTCATTTTTAATTTAATCAAAAAGTAGGTCACGTTGGTAAAAAAGCTTCGATTGCGTTTTAACGTTACAATCAATTGCTAAATTAAAATAATTAATACTTCCGGCGATTAAATATAGTTTCTATGAGAAAGATTATATTTTATAAATTGGTTTATTATGACCATCAATTTATTATTTCTTAGAGTGGTCCATTTCCAACATTACTTAGAAGCTTCAAACGATTAAGGATGGATTGTGGGCTAAATGGACTTTCTGCAACTTAACCGTCCGCTAACAGGGCTCACTCAATATTGGATTTCGAATGCACTTACTTTCCACTCACCGCAATTAGAATGAATATTTTATTTAAAAAATGGAATCCTATATTTAAATTTTGCTTCTTGTTTATGCCATTTGGAATAAAGTATAAATGCAAGATAATCGATTTAGATTTTTCCTAACAAGTTTACGAACTGAATAAATGTACAATATGACAGTAAGCGAAACGTTTGCGTTCTAAAAGGTAATTTCATAAAATTAATTTGCAACTAACTTTCAAATTAACTTTTAGAACGCAAACGTTTCGCTTACTGTCATATTGTACATTTATTCAGTTCGTAAACTTGTTAGGAAAAATCTAAATCGATTAACAACATTTTATATATGTCTCCACTATTATCAATCATTGGCTAGATAGATCTATAGAAACTAGAAAAGTTTAATCTGTCTACTAATATATTTACTCATTTTTTTTTTACTATCAACAGTAAAATATTGTATTAAATCATATTAAATTTTTAGAGTATAAAACACAATAGCGTGAGAAACATATACTTAAAAGCAGCACATCCATGTGTATTATTATTTAAAAAATTATTATCTTTAGTCATACTTATTTTTTCCACTTTTATTTCACACACAATATTTTATATATATATATATATATATATATATATATATATATATATATATATATATATATATATATATATATATATATATATATATATATATATATATATATATAAAATTTATATAGAATATTGTGTTTATTTATAATTATTTTATACTAGAAGATTATATTGGCACAACAGCATGCTATCATAAATGTAATACTTAATATTTACTCGCGTTACTTTCAAAAAGAAAAAATAACTATAGAATTTAATTTTAGATAAAATAAGATTTAATATTTTATTATTTTGCTTTTAATACATCCATCTTGTCGACCAAATAGCTAGAATTCAAATTCAGTACCATCAAAAACATAAATAGACAAAATTAGAGCAATAGACGACAATTTCCAAATAAGTTAGATCAGATGTCCAAGAAATTCCAGTGTGTGCCGGGGAGACTTTAAACTTTAGCATGATTCCCGCGTCTTCTTCCTTGGACCGGGGAAACTCCCGTATAGTCTAAAAGGCAAGGAAGGGGAGAAAAAATAAATAAAAAAGTTATTCCTAAAATAAAAAAATATCTGAAAAATGAAATTAATATTCTCTTAAAGATTGTATATTAATTATAAAAGGTAATTACTTTTCAGTAAAATTAAAGTATTAAATTACGACACGGTTACCCCTTTATTAATAGTTAAATATTCTTTTATTTTTTATTCTTGAACATTAAAAATTTCCTCTCTAAAAGTTTCAAGGTATTTCACTTAAGCTGCACTGCTGATTTGGGGAAACGACTCCTTTGCTTACTCGGAGGAGAAAAGATTTTACGGTTGAAGAATCTTGCCTAATTACGAGATAGTTGGTAACAATTCATAACTGACTGCACCTCCGTGATCTCAAGGTTAATACATACAGGGTACCTTATAATGAGGTAGATTTTTCTAGCGATTATTTGTTTAACAAATCTTTTAGGAAGATCCGATGATAACACCTCATAAACTTAACTGATTTATTATTTAGATTCATTACCTCATTAATAATACCTACAAGAATATGATAGATAACTCAGCCCTAGTATTTTAGTTTGGTTCAGAATGTTTTTTCTTATCATAAACATTCAAAATTAAAATAACATGTATATACCTACATAAATTTACTGTTTTTATTTTCATATTTGAATATTCTAAAAGTCATTAATACTATTTATCTGTATTTAATAAATTAATAAATGGAACAATATTACATTTATTGTATATAAATAATGCTTAGTAAAAAAGGCATTTATTTGAAATATTT